TATTGAATCGATTTATTGAAACACGAAATTTAATTTAAGTTCGTAAAATAGCCTACGTTTCATGACGATGTGAAAGTGGAGTGTGTAGAGTAAAATCTCGCTTTCCTATAGCCCATTATGTCTCAAAATGACGCGATTTCGTCACAAAACATAAAATTAAAAAGATTCTAATTCGAATTTCGAAAAAATCGCTTCGAGGTGCACTGCCTCTTGTCTAGATGCACCTATGTACCAAATTTCGTAGCCGTGGTTCTATTAGCTTACGCGCAGCGCGAACGAAAGACACACACGCAGACAGACTCTTTCTTTTATTATATGTGTAGAGATAAAATATTGTTAAGGATTTTGTATTTATCTAGCTATTTTTAGTAGAATTGTAACTGAAATTGCTTTATTTTCTCGTGCCATGCTACGCGGGACGAGTCTTAAGAGAAAGCTACGCCGAAAAAGTTAAAATACAGGAGCAGGAGCATTAAATAAATAGATATCTCGTAATTTATATTTAAATTGAATAAATGCAGTTGTTCGTTATCTGTAACTGTAATTCTTCTCTTTTGCTTTCCAGAAACCTCGAGACAATAGAATTTACCAGAATGTTCTCGTGCATGATTAAAAGCTTTAAAAAGCCAGAGAAAAACATCTCTTCAGTTTTATGCAGTGCCTATCTGGGCCACTGTGTACAAGACTTATAGACACAAACTACAGGTCTTTCAGAACAAAATACTGAGACAAATTGTTGACTCCCCATGGTTCGTACGTAACCTGCAGATACATAAAGAACTAAAAATAAGACCCATAGCTGATCAAATTTTCACCACGAGCCACAATTTCTATGCTAAAAAGAAGACTTTCTCAATATGAAACATATCCGTAATCTGATAAATTATGATCCCTACTATAGAAATTGCAGCAAAGCGCCCAAGAGGCATCTTCCATAACAGCAAATGGTGAAATGTGTATATATTGTACATAGTACTATTATCTTTATTTTATCTTCATTGTGTCATTTTACCAGTGTCTTTGAAACTTTATAGACTTATGGACTTGATCCGTGTACCTGGATCTTCAAAGAACTGATCTTATATTTGTCATTTTCGTAATCTTCAAATTGTTATATCAGAGACTTTGTAATATTGTGGACTTATGGACATGATCCGTGTACCCGGATCTTCAAAGCTTTGATTATTTATTGCTAGTGTAAAATGTTTTTCACCATTTGCCACTTCACTCAAATACCGCCGTCCCTATATGTACATAGTGTATAGTTTCAGTAACTCATGTGCCTCAGTGTTGTTCTGAGAGTTCCTGTTGCTCGAAACTGAAATTAACTGAATCGTCTTTTCTTCTAATCTAAACTTAAAATCGATTGCTCTTCTTTGCCTAACAAAAATTTTTTGATTAATTCATTATTAAAATAATGTTTAACAATTTAAAGTTAGTTTAACTTTTTAGCCCAAACTGGATGTTAGTCCCGAATGGAAATCGGAAATTCTAAAGATATGCTGTTTTAAAATATTTGGTGATTTTTGCCGTTGATTCGAATTTTATGTGGAAAGTGATATTTAATAAATAAAGTAAATACACGAAAGGTTAATAAGTAAATAAAACTTTTATAAAGCCATCTTAGTAAGGAAACTGAACATCGATATGAATAACTGACAAAAAACAGAAAAATGTATGCCAAGTCAGAAGAAAATTATGCTTTATAATTAAACTAAAAAGACAAAAAAGATGGGGGCAATAGGAGTGAGTGTAGCAATAGACTAGTAGACTGTGAGCTCAGCGAGAGAGTAAAAAAACCATAATAAACCTTTTTGGGCGATCGTTAAAATGTGAAACCTTTCATTTTTTTAATTTTATGATTTTGTTATAATAATTTTATTTTAAACCTTTTATGAAATTATCGTTACTAACTCATAAAACAGAACAGGATCTCCGTTAGAAGAGCTCTTGCTGTTTAAAACTATAATTAATCGAATCTCGAATTACTCTCAAATTACTCTGTAGACCGAGAAAATCGGTTGCTTTCTTCTCTAGACCAATTTTTAATTCACTTTAAATTGCGGATGAAATTATTATTATTAATTTATAAAATACAAGAAATATCAGTTATGTGGACGCTGATGCTCAAAATTCCAATTATCTGAATCATTTTCGTTTCTCTTTAAATTAATAAAATTGAAATGCTATCAATTTATTTATGCGATTTTAATTTAATTCGATAAATAAATTAAATAATATGTATTTTATTGTTTTATCTACGTCACCAATGTCAGTCTTTTTAAAATAGAAATAAATTATGCATTTTCTTTTGGGCGAATCAAAATTATTTCGTTGTTTTATTTTAATGCATTAAAAGCAGAAACAAAGTGATGTGTTTAGTTTCAGAGCCCATATAAGCAAGTATTAGATCCTTGCTTCGCTTTAGCTGAAAAAAGAAATGGTTTGCATATTAAGAAAATATTAAAATAAAGAGAAGGAAAAAAAATCTGAAATGTTTCAGATTTTAAATTACGTCCAAAGGTGCGTGTTTTCAACATTTTGTGTGTTACCATGTACTTTGCACTTAAACCATAAAAATTAGATCAATAGCAATGTCGCAAAATAATTTTAAAAAAAAATAAGCATATATTTAGAATTTCCGATACACTGTTACACTGATACGCTGATATACGCGCTGGAGATAAAAAGGGTTTTTTTTTCCCCCGTAGAGTCTTGCCATTGCTTGCTTTTACATCGTTGAGTTTGTTACTGAAAAATTCGTTGAAGTTTTACAAAATAGAAAGTCGATAATAAAACAAATTCCAAATTTCAAATTTGGGATTTCAGGTGCCCATATTCTCAGTAGGATTACGTCTTTCAAAATTATATGGCTCTAGATACCGTTGTTTTATCACAATGCGAGAAATATACATACATTTATGCAGGTTTTTTCATTATTTAATTTCTTCAAATGTAATACAGGACTCTAACATTTTGTGGCAACAGTTTGAAAAGTGAACCGACATTTATAGGAGTCCGACGCAAAATGCGAAAACGAAAGTAATAGTCCTTCGGGACTCAAATCCCTTTGGACTAATAATAAAAAATATATAAGCTTTCAGATTTTATATTACGCCCGAAAAGGCGCTTTTTTAACTTTTTATGTGTTATCTTTATTTATTAAATATCATGTTCTTCGCACTTAAACTATAATATCCAGTTTAAGAGCAATATCGCAAAATAGTTTTTAAATGAGCATACTTTAGAATTTCCGATACGGCGTCTCACGCGCTGGAGATAATTTTTTTTCTGTACAACGTTGCCATTGCTCGCCTTGAAATCATTGAGTTTGTTAATCATAAATTCTTTAACGTTTTACAAAATAGGAAATCGATAATAAAACATTTTCCAAATTTCAAATTTGGGCTTCCAGATGCCCATATTCGCAGTAGGATTACGTCATTCAAAATTGGATGGCTCTAGGTGCCGTTGTTTCATCACAATGCGAGAAACATGCATACACTCATTCAGATTCTTCATTATTTAATTTCTTTAAATATAATGCAGGTCTCTAATGTTTGGTGGCGACAATTTGAAGAGCGGTTCAGAGCTTTATAGTGAACCAACGCAAAATGTCAAAACAAAATTAACAGCCCTTCTGAGCTAACGCTTCTTTGGGCTAAAAACTATTTCTCTGTTTAATTTTATTAACAAAAATATTTAATATATATATTATAGAAATATTTGGTTTAAAATACTTCCAATGGCTTTTCGTAAGCTGTTTTTTAGAACTTGTATAAAAGCAGTTCTCTTGATACAGTTGCGTTGGTAAGGTGATTAGTAAGTAAAAAGGTACCTCTGGTCTAAAATATCGTGTTTTCTCTTAATTATCCTATGGTAGCATAAACCTTGTTAACAACTACAGCCCTTGATACCCAGCTAGGTCTTTACATAATTACCCGGGTATCTGATTTGCATTCAGTTCAAAGCAATCAATTCACCACTGAGCCTCCTATAAAGCTGATTCAATAAGTGAGTTCACAATATCTGCAGGAAATGTCGATCTGATTTCTGTGTGAATGGCTGCACAAAGGTCGCATTCGCTCAGATCTGTTCCGTTACTTCAGTACACAAAGAAGGGCTCTGTTTTCCAAAATATGAAAGAGATTGTGCCTGATCACTAAATCACTACTCTGTCAATTTACGGTTCGCTTACAGTCGATGACGGAGTTTCGTTATTATCCAACTGTGTATAACACCAAAAGGAAGTACTGTTTATTTACTTTAAACCGGATATAAACGCTAAACCGGAAAGACGCTTGATTTTTTTTCCTATGTACCCCACTGTTACCTTACCGTCCAGAACAAGTTAATGCTCAGAATATTAATTTGAAGGAAATGATTTTCGATTTATAAAAACTAACACTAGGATTTAAAGCTCGTGATAAACCATCCGGTTATTATATGGTTATAACGAACGTTTTCCGCCAAAACACGTTCTTAATAAAGTTAGGAAAAAGAACATGAAAGCAGTACCTTTAATGCGAATAGTAATCATTACTCAAATCTATGATTTTATGCCAACATTTTGGTAGTTTTTCAAGCCCTTCGCTAGACTTCTATTTAGTTTGTAAAAACAATAATTCATCGAAGCAGGCAGTCAATTAGTTAAGTAAGTTTCATACATATATATTTATTTTACGACAGTTATAAAGATGATAATCAATCAAATGTGGCTTGCTTCGATATGGAAATGGCAGACTTGTCGGCAATAATGTCCGAATGTTGTCCACAGTCATCGAAACCAACCCAACCTCTCAATTAATTGATAATTTTGTGTGATTTTAATAAACATCTTGGTACTTCCTTGATAAAACGGCCGCACTACAAGCCTTTAAGGAGATTTGGATATTTGCATATTACAGATTGGGAGGTCGGGTTTGCTAGTTTTGGCGATTAAGCACGCCGACCTTAAACTGAATTTTCTTTTATTAATTTAAATTCTTTATTCTAGGTACGTACTGCCCATGATCATCTGGTGGCTGAAATATGAATGTCTTGGAAGATCTTCCATTTGGAGTTGAGTAACTCAGAAAAGAATGAATTTAAATCTGGTAACAATACGCCGATCCAAGAGACTAAAAATGTAGCCAAAGAATTTTGATGTCTTGATTCAAAAAATAATTAAAAGTAGAACATAGAGAACGATTTTAATGCTATAAATTTGGTTATCTTACATTTCAAGTCGATATGTCATAATTCATTTTGAAAATTAAAATAGAATGTCAAGCGAAGGAAGCAGTTCAATTGTATAGCTAAGCCTTATCGGTGTCTAACAACAAACCAGAGAATTTCAGCAAAATCAGAAAGACATTAAACAAACAATTCTTCAGTTCTTTCTGATAACACCCTTTCATTATTTCAAATACCAAACTCATACCAATCTTCTTTGATTATTATGAAGTGGAAATGATATGAAAACGAAATAAATCTATAAAGAAACTTATATAGTTATCATTGACAGTATTGGTCAGTTTCAATTCGGAACTCATGGATACGGAAGGTCAATGCAGTTCCACAAATGGTGTCTATTCTTGATGAGGATGGTGAGTCCCCAGACTGTGGGACTCATCCTAATGTGTCTCTTCGCGGGCTGCTCGACAACTGTTCCCATTCTGCCATTACGTGAAGTTTATTCTAGTAGTCCAAATATATTTCCCCAAAATCTGTACAGAGTGGGTCCCTCGCTTATTGCAACCTCCTCTGACAAGAACAATCTCTCAGCTGAACTTATTAATAACCACAACGTTTCAGATTTCATATCACATGTTTCTGTAAATGATCGAAAGTATAATTCGAATCCCTCGAATGTTCCGATGAAACATCAAACTACTTCTGCTTGGACATCGAAGGAAAAAGTAAGCCATCCGAGCGTAGAACTTCTTGCTCGGAGTTCTGAATATGTGAACAAGATTTCGAGCCAAAGTACAGTGACAGTTAGTTCGAAGGAATTAATGAAAACATTGAATGATTTCTTCGATACAAATTACAACTCTCAAAGTCCTGCTCTGTCCGAAAATCATTTACCGACCACTTTATTCCGTGTGAGAATTGCCAATACGTATAGAGGAAAATCTCCTAACCCAACAAATTCTTCCACGAATGTTAGGGAAATATCACATTATTCGAAGCATATAGATGAAGACTTTTCAAACTCCAGAATCAAAGATGCGTTTAACGAACGAAAAGGTCTCAGTAACAGCCAATCTGCCATAAGCAAGGAATTTGATGGTGGCAGAAGCACTTTCTCTGTTCCTGCAAGAGAAATGGACGGTACATTAAATAACAAACGAGTCGTACTTGTAGCTGTTAAGCCTTCGCCAAGACTTCGATTCACTTCTCGAACTATAAATAAAGTTTACCGTCCATACAGACATGACAGAGGAGGCAGGAATCTCCGACTGCATTTACAGGATTCCAAACCAAGAGAAGGGAGGGAAGCATATGATCCTCTTCTTAGTAAAATCAATCAAACTCATTCTTCCATTAATATATTTAATTACACTCATCATATTTCTCCATTACAAAGAGATTCTGTGCTTCCATATGTCCCTTTTAACGAGACTGAAAACTCACATGCTGTTACTTTAGTCCCATATGAAGATAACATAACCTCATCTTCAGGAACCATCTCCCGTAATTTAACGATATATGAACTATTAAAGCCACGTTTGCGCTCTACTGATCCCAGTGTAAGTAACGTTAATGAAAAAGACAGTGTTACGGTTGCTTCAGAACTAAATGGCATTCAGACATCTACGGTGAAGTATGATGACTTCACACACCACACGGGAGAAAGAAGTATACCAAATAATGATACCACTCCCTTTTTCGTAACCTATGGTGAGAGCTTCAGCAATGAAGTTGATTTTCCTGGTGACGTTTCACCTCAAAGAAGTGATTCCATTGGTGATGTAGAATTCATCTTAATTCAAAGGAATAAATCGATTGATTCCCCAGATGTGATGGCAGCTGTAGCGAAGAAACCTGAGGAAAACGAAACTTCTTTTCATTCAAAAGAATACATCAGTAGAAGTGCCGATGTCGTGATAAAAATCGACGATCCGTTTCGAAATAATTCCAAATTATATAACCACATCAATTCGGAGAAACCAGATGTAAGCCAACAGTACCCATTAAATGAAACATCACAGTACGATACTTTAACTAAAAATGAAACGATAATTGTTACAGAAGCGGAAGACATTAAATTTACGGATAGTTCCAAAACGAAAATTTCAGAATCAAGCGATTCAACTGCATCTCGTGACAGCTTCGCAATTAAAATATTAGAAAATGGGACTCATATGTATGAAATGGACACAATACGACAACCAAAAATGTCCGATTCTCTCAATGTCGATAATACACCTTTCAAGAGACCAAAGATAGATCCGAAGATTTTTTACGATTACTTCATGAAACTGCCAAGGGCGAATTCGTCAGCTTTTGATTATGGGATTTCTGAATTTAGCCCTGGAAATTTTTACCTTTATCCTGATATTTACAAAAGGAAACCGGTTCTGGACGTAGCGTACAGCAGACCGACACCATTGTTTAAGATTCGTACGCAAGAAATGACCGAAGAGACACCTTTCGACTCCACTACTTTCGATTCAATGAGAACATCTGTGAAAGTGTCAAGTACCTTTTATCCTAACAGGTAATTGTAAAATTCAACAAACTTTCTGTATAACTAATGAAATAGTTTTCTTATGTTATTTATAGTTTATATATAGTTTATTTATAGTTTATATATAGTTTATTTATAGTTTATATATAATGTACAGTTTCCTTAAGTATTTTGTTCTTAAGTAAAAGATAATAAACTGTTTCGATAGAAGGTTCATAACATTAAAGAAAAAAGATTTCGAAAACAGAAGTTTTATAATAAGAATGCCAAGTGAACTTTGAATATTCTTCAAACAATTTCCATAACAGAAAATTTTTAGAAAATGTGAATCCTGGTGACTTGTATAATGGTAAAAATATCGATTTGTTAGGCAAACTGGCTGGTATTCCCGTTACGCATGAAGAAAACCGCGAAAACTCCAATGTAGCCAGCCCCTTTTCTTAGATTTCATCCCGGATCAAACTACCATATTTAGCGGTTTTTACCGCTCAGCTGCATGATGGGCTGATTAACCCTTTGCGGCACAGTGTGTCCGGTCTGGACACACCTAAAAATTTCCTTCTGTACGCACAGAAAAAAATGAATGAAAAAAGGTTTATAAGTTACTTATAGGTTACTCTGAACCTTCTTTATTTATAGTAGATGGCAGCTCAACACAAAACAGTCCATATATTTTAGCCATATTTAGTTTTTTAAGACCCTCATTTTTCAAAGAAATCTTCTAGATCATTTTAGGGTATAAAAGAAATTGTTTAAAAAAAATTCTATGTTTTTTTTGGCTGTATGCTAATCTCCTTATTCTATATTAGTTTTAAATTTTTACCTTGAAATCTTGCCTAATTCAAACGGCGAACCCTAGGTGTGCTCAGACCGGGCTCACTGATCATCTAGGACAACTGAGAGTCTGTATTCTTTGTTTCTCCGCATCTCATCGGTCAGTTCATTAACAACAGTGCTCGTTTCAGCACTCTTTTCGAAGCTCTATTCCATCAGTGTGCCACTTTGGGCACACCCACAGAAATAAAACGATAAGTGCTATCTTCACATAATTTAACTTGTGTACTCCTCTAGGCCTAATTAAACTGCCTACCTTTTTTTTTATCAAAACTCCGACTTTAAAAAGCAGCGTGCCGGAAAGGGTTAAAGAATGTAGGACACTACCAACGTTCAGACAAAACATCAAGTTACTAGAACAGAATCACTCCTTTGCCTGATGTATGGCAAGAAATTGTTGATAATAACGAGCTATATATTTGCATTGAAATAGCTTTTGAGTATAAAAAGAATGGGTATGAATTAGAGGCAATACATCGATACTTCTGAAAAGACTTTATAGCCTTAGGTATAAACATTTGTAATCCCTCCATATGACTGCCCTGTCTACCACTTTCTGCCAAATTAATGGAAGGCGTACACCACCAGTACATCCACTTCTGTTGATGCCCCTCAGTGATCGCCCGTAAACTTGGATAGCATGCCCTTTGGTCTTGCAATGGATCTCACGCAGTGGTTCATTCATTTTAGAACTAAAATGAATGAACCACTGCGTGAGATCCATTGCAACAGAGATCATAATCATAGTCAGCGGACTCAAGAGTCATAGTCAGCGGACTCAAGAGTCATAGTCAGCGGACTCAAGAGTCATAGTCAGCGGACTCAAGAGTCATATTTAGCGGACTCATATCAGAGAGATCGTAGTCAATGGACTCATAAGTCAAGAGACCATAGTCAGCGGACTCATATCGGACAAGTGTAGCTAACATCTCCACCCTGATAGAAATGTTGGCATGGTGATTATTACAGTACTTCCCAAGCCACCGTGGCAGGAAATGTGTGACGGCTCTTGTATTATGACAGAGCGCATTTTTATAAAGGATGAGGTATTTATCACCTGAGGCAGCACTGAGAAGAAAGCGACGTCTATTATTGGCAATGAATCCCATCATCATCATCCATGACAATGCGTGATTAAGGATCTCCTGCGATGGTAGCCGTAAGAGATAGAAGAACATCCGCATATTCGCCGAATATTAGTCCGTGTGACTGTAAACGTTTTTCAAAAAATGAAAGAATCACATTACAGCAATAGAATATTAAACATGTTTAAAGCAATCACAGAGAAGAATCAGCTGATGTGGAAGTGCTGATCCTGTACTTTATCTTCCAGTAATTTGGCAGAAAGTGGTAGATATGGCAAACCATTATATTGAGGGATTGTAAGTATTTGTATCTACAATAATGAAACTTTTCAAAACTGTTAGTGTGTTGTCACTACTTTGTAGCCAACTCTTGTAAATTAAAAAAAAAAACTTGTTGAATTGCATCTTAAAGTCCTCTGGAATATTTAGCATGAAAGAACTCATATACAATATTTACTATATTCTACATATCTAAATGATGTAATTTTCAAGTGTAGCTGCGTATCGAAATTTACGAAATAGCAATTTTTTTTCCCTTGAGATATCAAAGCCAAGTTTAAACAGTACATAATTATTTCCACCAAACCTGTTGGATTGGTTTGTTTTGGTTAGTTTGTGTGACTATGGCAAAGCCTCAAGGGCTATCCGTTTAAGGGGAGGACTTTCTAAGACCTTGAATGTTGAGAGCAATCGTTCTTTTCAAGCTTATTTTTAAGACACCAAAAACCCAAAGTCCCAAAAGTCCCCAAAAGCCAAAGGGGGGCATCCAAAGATTCAATGGAATACCTCTTTACCTGCGTTATTAATTTTCTAAAAACTAGTTAAACGAACGGTTCTTGGGAGATTGATCGTGGACAAGTCAGATATTCTTTTTATAAGGCTCATAAGGGTTAGCTTTAAGATATTAAGACGATAGTAAGTTAATTTAATACTGTTTTTAGATTCAAGTATTTGAGAATTTTAAATGCAATTGTATTAATTGTTTTAATGCATTTGTCATATGTTTCTGAGTAGGAATATTAACTTTTTAAGGCCAATTGGTTATGTAAAGATGTAGACCTACCTATGTTTTTCGGAATGAAGTTAATTACTAATATTCTAAAGATCCAAATTTTTTGTACGAAATTTGGTTCCGGATTTCATTAATAATTTAGAAATGGTGAAACATTTTACATTTTATTTGTTTCCGTCTTGTTTACATCTTATTAATAAACTATACTAGCATTTTGTTCTTTGAAAAGATGAGTGTAATTAACCCTTTAAATAATTTGCCATTTTTGGCGGCATTATTGCTATTTTGATAGAAAATAAATTACTTTAAATGGAATCACAATGTTTATCTAATTCAATGTTCAGTGAAAAATGTTAAAACTCTTTCATCTGCTGTTAATCTAAAATTTTTATGATTCAATTCTTCATTTTAAAGTGCTTTTATGATTATGAAATGCTTTTCTGCATGCCCTTCTTTGTGATATGGAAAACATTTGTACTTTTCAACAAAATTATGTCAGTATAGAGTTAAGTATTGATATTTTATTTTGTTAATTACTATTAATTCATTATTTCTCCGAGGACCTCAAAATGGTACGGGAGTACATGTATTAGATTATGGCGTACATGTATATTTTTAAAACGGAAGATATCTGGAATAAATAAAGTTGTAAAACAAATAAACTTTTCATTCCAAACAAATATGTAAGCGATAAGACTGCTGTCTGCTGCTGCTTTCTTGCTACAAAATTATCAAAAATATAAGATTTTTGGAGCAATCACATTTAATGTGCCGATTTGTGTGTAGCCGCAACATTTTGCTGAAAATAAAACTGAAGATTTAATCTGACTTCGCCTTCAATTTTTTAGTCATTATGGATCAACACTTCTAAGCCATCAAAATTCCTGCTCCTGAATATATTACATATATATATATATGTAATAATAAAATTCCATAGTCAAGAATACAATTAAAATTCTAACTGTATGTTCTTTTCAATTTTAATGGCGGCGGTCTCTTTTTTGAAAGTACGTGGAGTTAAATCCAGAGCCCCGTAGTCAAGTTGTTTTTCCTGCCTTTTCTACACGTACAGTTATAGAATGTTCTGGAGATTTTTAAAGCGAACTGGAATGGCTGACGAGGCTGAGGTCATTTCTTGGAAGCTCCGCCTTTCCAGAGGCTATAAAAGGACTCGCAAAGGAATATCGGGGTCTTTTCTTTAATGTAACGATGCAGTAAACTTCATACAAAAAGTTATTAGTAGTTCTTTTTTACTTACTCCGGAGATCTGATTTTGTAACTGCTATTTCTCTTGAATAATAATAAATGGATCCTGTTTTTTAAACTTATCGTCTGATAATTTAAGCTACGACTACATTTATGATTCTTCACCAATCTATTTATTCCGGATAAAAGCTGGTACATCACATATATTATTATTATTATTATTATTATTATTATTATTATTATTATTATTAAGAAATATATATTAATATATTATAAGAAAATAGTAAAATTAAATTTAAATAATTCTCTTGCGCCATTGCTGCAAGGAATGAAAATTGAATTTAACAAATATTCTCTATTCGTACAAAGCAAAGAAAATATTAAATTTAAATTTAAAATTTAATTAAGAAATTTTAATGGCAAAGAAATAAAAATTAAAATTTTAAATAAAGTGTTTAGTTAAGCGAAAGGAAACTAAACTATTTGAAGAACTAAGTTACATTTGAAAAAAATGAAAAAAGTGAAATCAAACAAGGTAATTACGAACAGAGAATATTTGCTAATATATTATAATATATTTTCCATAATAACTTATCTAACCAAAAGTAAGTTATAACACTTGTACAGAATTAATTAAGTGGATCTCATCTGCAGTAGTTTAGACGTCATTTCCGCTTTGTTTGTTATACTCTATCATAATTTGTTTATTCTTAAAACTTCGTAGCATGCATTCTCGTAATTTTTTTCTACTTGCATATTTCAGAATGCAAGATGTTACAATGAAATTTGGAAACCGCGTCGATCTTACTACCTTACCTACAATCATAACGAAAGACAAGAATACAAAAAATGATGAAGATCCTGATGATGCGGAGTACCGGGACGCGATTGATTCAGGATTCACGATGGAAAAATTGGCTTACCTGCTCATCGGCACGTGCTGTGGTCTGAGTATACTTTGCCTTTGTGTTGTGGTCGTTGCAATCAAATGTCGGCGTGTCCTTGTAGAGAAGAGAATCAAGTCACAGTTCCGGAATAGGATGTACCAACACGAGCGGATGAAAGATGCGTCTACCCCATGGCAACAACAGCTGTTTGATCACTTCATGTACATCCACAGGCATCCGGACAGTTCCACGTCTAGTGCTGACAGCTGCAACTGCCGTTGCGTCACGTGGTCATTAGGACCCCGAAATTTAGATGCCAACCGCCCCATCTTACCACCCAATCGCAATAGTCAGTATTTGTGTGGGCAAAAGAAGCTTCCATTTGGTGCTGCTTCGACTCTGAGGTACGAATCCATGCTAGGTCGCAACAAGCGACCTTCTCCGCCACCATTACAACCAGCAAAAAACGAGCAGCCAAACACAGATTCGTCACACGAGAATGATTCTCTGGATCAGGACTCTGATTCTCGTGACAGTGACGGTCAAAGACAATGCACGTGTATTGATTACACACTATGGCCAATGCCTCCTGGAGACGTGCGTAGAGGGATATATGGTATGTGCCCAACTAGCAGGAGATATGACATGGGGGAATGCGGTCAGCATCCGCCAGTGGAACTGCGTTCAATCGCCAGAGACTGTCCACCGCCAGTTACGGGTTCCAATTATCTAGATCGGTCGGAGGGTGTGGTGTACTGGTCATCTAATGAAGAAAGACTTATTTAACAATTTTGTATGGCATATTAATAAACTAAGGTATACTTCCTCTCTGGTCTTTCCATTAACATAATACCTTTTTAGTTTAAACTGCTCTCATGAATACATGCTGTACCAAATTGCTACAGAAAACTAAAATGCTGCCAATTTTGAGCTATATACAAAATCACAAAATCAGCAGTATTTCGATTTTCTGCAATGATTAACTTCGTGTTAAGCTCTTTATGCTGGTGCAAAAGTTTTATATTAAACAATACAAATATTCATCTCAGATCTTTACACAAACAGAATCTTAACGAATTAATACACATCGTACGCCATACTGAAAATAAATTTAGTTTCTATTGTTTATATTTAAATTTTATGGAAAAAATGAGGAACAGGAACTAAACATCTTTAAAAATTAGAGTAAACAAGCAGTACTACTACATTACAAGAAAATGAGGAGATAATATTTTGTTGCATATTGGGGTTCTTACTTAAGCCAGATCTGTCAAGAATAATACGGGCTTCTGAATTCGTGAAATCCAAGGGCCCATAATACCCATACGTTATTAAGACACTGGTAGAGAAACTGAATTATTTTAAAAAACCTCATTTATTCATCAAACATTTCGGGGGGTAAACTACATATACAATAATTTCGAATTTGTTCATCGTAATTATGAGATATAAATACACACTCGTGTGCAAAATTAAGAAAATTTGCACATTATATCGAATTTCTAAAAACCTAAAGGAGAGATTTTAATGAAATTTGATATGAATATACGTTTATAACCGGGAAAGATATGTACTATTCAAAAGTCATTTTATGTAAGCATGATCGACGGTCGTTGAGGAGTCCCTGTGGCTATCGATCCCACTCCTGCAACAAGCCAGTTTTCAACTCTGAAATGAAACTGCCCTCGCAAGAATATTCTAGATATTCTCTATAGAATTAAGGTTGGAAGATCTGGCGGGCCAATCCATGCAGCAAATATTCATAGCAGTCAGGGAGCCTTTACCAAACACGTGTGCGGCCGTCCAACTTAATGCTAGCCCAAACTATTACACCCCCACCAGCGTAATGATCCTTTTCTCTGACGATGAAGGTATGGTTGCCAATGAAAATGAGGAAACATTCCGGAGTATCTGTGGAGTCAAAACCACACACCTCCTTATGGTATCATATTCCAGACTGTATCCAGATACAGGTACGTCTAGAATCAGTGCCAGGGTGAATCTCGATTCGTCTGCTAAAAGTACAGTGCTCCATCGATGTCTGATCCAAAGCGCATGCTCTCTGCACCATACTAAACTCTGTTTCTTCTGTTGCAGTAAGCGAGATGCAAACAGCAGGTTCTTCTGACCTGTCTCGTAAAGCCTTCGGGCATCTGTAAATCGTGAAACTCAGGTTCGAGTGGCAACACAGCTCACGTAAGAGCTGTGAAGCTGTACCAGTCCTGTATCGCCACACTGAAAGTGCCAAATAATGATCCTCATTCGTCATTGTGGGTTTTGATTGACCTTGTCCAAGGCTTTTCGATATGGATCCAGTGTCCTGAAATTCTTTCCACAAATTGCAGATGACATTGAGGTTACATTGAACTCTTAAGACACCTGCGCTTATGATGTGCTTGGCTCAAATCTCATTCCAATATACTTATGTTTGTGGCTACTCCATTTAGCTGATACTTTATAAAATTTACTTAATTCTTGCGAGAAATACAAAGAATCTTATGAAGAAGTGCGAGCACAGAAACCGCCGAAAGCCCCTCGTGCGTTTATATCCTTTCGATAATCACAGCTCCGCACACACGCACGTGTAAACTTACGAATTCGACTCTTAATATTTGCATGATTCTTCGGCGGCATGATTAGAGCTTTTGGTTCAATACTTTTCGTAAAAATAGACATAATTTGCAAATTCTCTTAATTTTGCCCACGGGTGTACATATCGATTATATATGCATATCGTATTTAAAAGATATCAATATATATATATATATATATATAACATATGTTACTGTGAAAGACCGAAATTGGAGAATGTCGACTTTCACCGGAGAATGTTAACATTCACCAAATACGTAGGTGAAAGATCGAATGTTGCATTATATTCTTATACCTTCGGACCCTCACCGGTGTATATCGACAAACACAGATATGCTCTATAGGTCGAAAAGAGAGGTCATAAAGTGTCATAATAGTTTAAGTTGTTGCAATAAATAAGATTTGAATCACATAATTTAGTAAGTGTTTTATTACTTAATTTTTATTTTCTCATTTAGAACGTACTGTATAATTAAGTAGGTTTTTAACTTCTATTATTTTACTTTCACATTTTGAATGTACTGTGTGTTCTTATGTTCTTATTTTAAGTCTCAAGTGCGTTTTTTCACGACTGAATTACGGAGAAGAAAATGCAATATTCTTATATGTTCAACATTCACAATTAGTACATGTTGAATGTCGACATTGACCGGTGTAAGTCAGAAATAAGAGTATTTGGAAAATATTTCGGACGTACAACCAAGCGACTTAGCGAATGTTGACATTCACCGGCGAAAGTCGACATTCTCCAGATTTCGGTGTTTCACCGTAACATATATATATATATATATATATATACATACCATACAACGTTACACTTACAGAATAAAAACGAGCTTAACTTTGTTTTTGTAATAATCATTATCCAGTAACCTTTATAGTCTCAAGCATTCTGTTTTCAAAATTCTAGTTAGAATTTGAAAAGTCTGCTTAACTGAAACATATCAGATGTACGTTGCTAATTCTGAGAAATGATGCTAAATACTCATATGTCAGTCAATTTCTAGTAGAATTCTTCTAAAGGTCCATGGTAGAGAAATCTGTTGTTCACATACATAAGATGAAGCAAATATAACACTAATTTTCTGGAATTGAAATATCAAATTTGGGAAACTTGCTATCGGCAAAGCTCTAGTTTCGTAACATTAAAGAATAGGTGCTTGTGATAATTGTTAGATTTTCAATAAATTAATTCAAGCTACAAATCCGACCTCACTGTTTCACAATTTACGTTGAAACACAGGGTGAACATGTCTACTTCTGTTTGAGTGGTATTTAAATCTTGAAATCTGATTTTAAACTCAAACCACAGTTTTCTTAGGCTATCTTTAAAATTCTTAAAGTCTTCATTTACTGAGGGTATTGAATTTAACGTCGGGTAAGTCGTTCTTAGCTAGCTGCCGAGCAAACAGCTCAAGTTTTAGTTTAAAACCTTTGAGATGAGCCCAGATATCGTCCATAAATCGATTTTTGCCTTACACATTGACATTTAAGTTGTTCATATGACAAAGCAGATGTGTGAAAATGTAAAACCCGAAAACCATTCTGTATCTTCCAATGTTTTACGCTCCTCCGCAAAACTCCGCAAGCTTATAGAAGAATGGCACAATGTTGTCTTTCAGCTGCCAAACTCGCTCGAAAACACATCCTGCACTAAGCCACCTTACCTTCATGTAATAGAACACATCAGAGTATTCGAATTGCACAGACTGAAGAAGATCTCGAAACCGCCTATGTGTGCATGAGATCGAATAGTATTTATAAGCCTTGCAAGTGCATCAAGCACAGGTTTCATATTCAGTGCAGATTTATATACAGGATCTTGATATATACCACAGTGTAGGAAGAAAAATTTGTTGCCGGAATAGTTTTGATTAAAGAGTTTGAGAAATCCAGATGTTTTTTCCTGTCATAGCGAGTGTTCCATCGGTCGTAGCACGAAAAATATCAGATCCCGTTCACCACCGCATGTATGCCATTTCCGCTGAAATTTCAAGGTTCTCTTCAACACCTCTCATAAATAATTCTAGTTGAGCAGTGTCATTCATCAGTGCTTTCATCCATAGCTATGCACAGAGCTTAAGGGGACTTAAACCCCTTATGATCTTCGAATATGTGACTGTTGCAAGAATTGGGATATTTTATTTATTTTAAAAGCAATTACTTCCAACTTTTTACATCTGACTACAAAAAATAGCTGCTTTGGAAAATGGTAACCAGAAAGTTAGTGTTGCCACAAAAATTTTTGTAATTTTATCCTCTTTGTGACAAAATATTTCGCCATGTTTCCACCTTGCGCGCACGATAATTTAAAAATGGCTAATGGTACATACTTGAAATTGGACGGAATTCTTTATATGGGCACTACTTTCTACCTGAACCAACAATCTAATAAATATTTTAATATTGAGAAATTTTATGGACGAAAACATTAAAAAATTTTTTTTAATAAAATACATTTTATAAACTTAACTCAAAATAAAATAAAAATTTAACATGAAATTTTTAGAGTTTTAGGTTCACAGTAGTTTCCAAATGTTATAAAAGCTATATATTAAATATGGAATTAAATTATGAAACAGAATGTTTTAAACTGTGCGCGCAAGTTGAAAACATGACGAAAAATGTTGTCACAAAGGGAATTAAATTATAAAAATATTTGTGGCAACACAAACTTTCTGATGACTATTTCAGAAAGCAGCTATATTACGTAGTCAGCTGTAAAAAGTTGGTAGTAATTGCTTTTAAAATAAATAAGTTATCCCAATTCTTGCAACAGTCACCTATTCGAACACCTTATGGGTTTTAAGTATGGATTTTAAGTACTTATGGGATAACTAAACGACGAAGCTATCAAGGGCCCAAACTACAGCCCAGCGTAGTAACAGCTTAAGAGGACTCATACACCTTAAAACTCATAAGATCTTCGAATATGTGACTGTTGCAAGAATTGGGATAACTGACTTATTTTAAAAACAAATACTTCCAACTTTTTACAGCTAACTACATAATATAGCTGCTTTCTGAAATAGTTATCAGAAAATTTGTGTTGCCACAAATATTTGTATAATTTAATCCGCTTTCTGACAAAATGTTTCGTCATGTTTCCACCTTGCGCGTACAGTTTAAAACATTCTGTTGCATAATTTAATTCCATATTTAATATATAGCTTTCATAATATTTGGAAACTACTGTGAACCAAAAATTCTAAGAATTTCATGTTAAAATTTTATTT